AAAATTGTCCAGAGTAGAAAAAAAATATTTGTATCAATTACTGTTCTCAGGGCAATCTCTGCACTGGAAATTTAACTGTCTTAGCTGAATGGGTTTTAAATGGTTATGCCCACTGGCCTAGCAGTGTGGGCTCAGTTGTGCCCTCACTTACAGCCATGCAACCTGCTTTGATATCTCAGTAGGCTTCTGCATAGGGTGAGGGCAGAATGCGGCCACCCATTGTTAAACTGTGTTGAGGGAACTTGGTTGAAAACAGTTCAAACTAATATAGCTCAGTCCCCAGTGTGGATGGGCTCCACCCAAGGCCTGGCCTGCACTAGCCTTTTTCCTTTTAAAGCTTTCCACCATTGCTAACAGGAGTCCAGCCAGGGCCGGCTCTAGCATTTATGCCGCCCAAAGCAAAAACAATTTTGGCCGCCCCCCCCCCCGTTTTTTAATTACCCCCCGGCCCCGCCTCAACTCCGCCCCTTCCCCAAATCCCCAGCCCTGTCTCCTCCCCCAGGCTCTCAAGCCTAAGAGGGAGGGGGAGAAGCGGCTCCCGCGCCGCGGCCACTTGGGATCTCCCCCTCCCTCCCATGTTTGAGAGCCTGGGAGGGAGGGGGAGACCCCGAGCGGCCGCGGCGCGCGTTTCGCGCGCCAGCAGCAGCGGAGGTGAGCTAGGGCAGCCGGGGCACATTTTTAGGGGCGGCATTCTGGCGCCGGCCATGCCGCCCCTAAAAATGTGCCGCCCCAAGCACCAGCTTGTTTTGCTGGTGCCTAGAGCCGGCCCTGAGTCCAGCTCCACCACTGGGAGTCCGAATGACGACAAGGTCCCACTGATTCTTTAATCAACATGCCACCTGCGCCTGCCCTGCTCAGGGTTAGACAGCATGGAAGTCACTGGCTAACAGCAGTTAGCTTCACTGGCCGCTGTCCAAGCACTAATTTATAGACACAGACCAAGATTAAATTTTCTGACTACTGCTCCACTGACATCCTTAAGGGCATGCAAGCCTGTTTATATTCCACCTGCAGCACGTCTTGATATTGCCCAGTTCATGTCAATGGTCTGCTGATTTTAATGGCTAAGGATGATATTTATTATCCTTTTCATGAGTGATCTCAAACATCCAGCTCCTGTGCTGATGTAAGAGGGATGGACATCCCTGGCATGTTTCCACATTCCATTCACTAGAAAGGATGTTCCACAGAGACAAGGCTGCTGTATTTTATTACAGTGGCTGCATTTAGAATGGTTCTTCCAGTTTGAGAGACATCACTGGTTCCAGCGGCGTTTCCCATTTTAACTATAGAGAATTGCTTTCCAGCCAGTAGAAATTTTTTAAGCACAAGCCCCTATAAGTATTTTTTAATTGTTACTATTTAGGACAGTTCAGACAGTTGCTACACTCCTAAAGATGGAGATGGAGAGAAATATTTACAGTGTTGTCAATTTTTAAATGTTGAACTCCTGCAGCTGCGCTTGGGATATTCTTTGGGCAGCAAATGCAGTGACACTGAATAAGTGACCAAATGCTTTTATTTGACCTTCCTTGCATCTTATGACAGTTTTCAGTATTAAAATAGAAGAGCAGAGACAAATACAATAGAAAGCAAACAACTACCCAGAAATTCTGTGGATATTTGGAGAAAAGGAAATGGGGGAAGGGAAGAGAAATTGCTGTGGATTTTACCACATAATTCCCTATAGATTTCTAATGCCCTTGCACACGTGCTACCTTGATTGTGTTTATTTATTACTCACAGGGCCGGCTCTGGCTTTTTCGCCGCCCCAGGCGAAAAAGCCTCCGGCCGCGCCCCCCCCCCCC